AAAAAAAAATCCCCATCTCTAACCACTCAAAATACGCCCATTTCTAGCCATCTATTTTGATGTACAGACAATCTTGGAGGAAAAGGATCTCGGAGGAATAAGGAAAGTGAATGAAAAAAGAGGTACAGTGGAGAAAGATGCTTCAGCCTCAGGAAAAAAAAAAATTAAAATACTATTTTCAGTTTCAACCCTGCCTCGCCCCCAGCAGTCTCCTGCACCTCCACCTAATGAGCTGATATTGTACAGCCAAATTTCAGTGACTGGGTGTGAATCAGAATTTCAGGTTTCTTTTATTCTGTCTCTAATAAATATACACTTTGCACGGGGAAAATAGTATACAAACAGAATCCTCTGCGAGATCTTTTTGTCTTTAGGGCTCTCAGAAATAATTATTTAAATATCTAAAACTCTGTGGGTGTGTTCTTTTGACAACATACAAGCATTCCTTTTAAAATCCCATTTAGTGTTAACATGACTTTATCACTAAACAGCATTCAGGATATATCTCTATTTTACTACTACATCTGCAAAGTGAATGTAGGCTGCTCGGTCTCATGCAGGATTTGAAAAACAATTTCCTACACCACATTAATGGTTATAATCATCTGTACTTGTCATTCATTGTTTAACTTCACACTACTTTATCTGAAAGAAAGGAACACAAGACTGTCAATTTAAACCAAATGGGGAAAAGCAACTTTCAGTTCATTATAGCTTCTTGATACCAGTAAGGTGATTGGAGAGCAATTTTAGCACTCTTCAATAAAGTACCAAAACTGCTATAATATATCATCCATCACAAGGCAATACTCTAAGATCATCAGTAAAGTAGGAAGCCATGATCAGTGCTGAGACTGTACTTGCAAGCTTCATTAACTTGTCAAAAAAGGGGGAGTCCGATATTCACAGAAAAGCTTTACTGATTTTGCAAGCACTACTTCTGTTTGCAGGTATTTTGTTTGTTTTTGGTGCTTTTCTCTAACATGATTAATGCTTTCTATATCTCTTGGAAGCAAAACAATTGCTTTACATAAGAGAGAACCCGCTGCACCTTTATGTTTTATATTCTTTATTTGATTTTGGTTTTTAGTAGCAGGGTCAAGACTGCAGAGCAGAAAGAAGCCTATTTTCAGGAAGTCTTTCAGGAAGTCACTACACTGGTGTTCCTTAGCTAATGAATTTCAGTCCTGCCTTGCAAAATTCGAAGTAGAACATAGAGTGGCACGGATGCAACATGAAAATGATTTGAATTTTGATGTATTAATATCACCAACCTAATGAAAGTTTCAAAGATCCTGAAAAAGATCTGAAAATTTTTAAACAAACCATGATAGATATCATTCTGAAAATGGATTATGCTTATATTTCTTATTGCTTTTACTACAGGATTCTAATCAGCATCAACACCCTTTTCATCAGAAGCATTCTGTTAAAATAACTGGAAAGAGACAATCTGTGCCCAGAAGTACAGTCTAATTCAAACCTAATTAATAGGTGTATCAAATGGAATTTTTAAGTTTTCCTAAAAATTCATTTCAGCCTACGTGAAAAAGATGCAAATTTAAAAACCTCTAAACCAACCAATCATACCCTGTCTGAAGAAAAGAAACGAATAATTGCTACATTTATTACTACAAATGTTCTTTTTTTTTGCTGGTGCTGAGCAAGTAAAACGGTGGTACAAATATGGGCACCGAGCCAGTGAACTCTGAAAGATTTTCAATTCAGGCAAGATCTGAAATTATAGTGCTAGAACTGCAGCCAGACAGTAAGGAGAAAAAAACCCTCAGTGTCCCCACAATTGATGACAAGAGAGGTGGGGGGGTTGTTTTTTTTCTTTCTACTTTTTTCTTTTTTTATTGTTTTAGCTCCAAGATTTAACTTTAGAATAGATTTCCCTTCAGTGTTGTTAATTACTGTAACTACTCCTCTGACCATTATTCTGGTTATAAGAATAGTTCCTTCTACCAGAATAAAGTGCTATTTAATTGGGCACTGAATAAATCACAGCTGAGACACACACTGTGTCTCTTAACCAGCTGGACAATAAAAAAGTGATATGGTTGAAACTCTGTGTGTGTCTAATGCTTTATCAATCTCACACATAGCAATGAGTGTCCTTAGAAAGTGGAAAGGACACACAACTGGATTAGGAAAAACTGCTAAGCAAATTGCTGCCAGTTCTGTACACTCATGGCATTCGAAACTGTGTCTAAGCCATTTGGTTGACTAAATATAATTCCACACAGATCAGGTGTGCAAGTCATATCTGTACCTGTCTTCGATGGAGATTATGTTATCTGTATTTCCTAGTGCAGACATACTGCATTTTTCTGTTATTGTTCTTATAATTAGTGTTATTTTTTTGAATTAAATTAGAACTGTGGAATGAAGGAAAGAAGTGATATTATTATGTTCAGACTATCTTTCAGATTCATCAGGGTTTTAATCAACTAAGAGCATCCTTGCAAAGCAGCACATTTATGACCATAAATGTGTGCTGTATGCTTGCTTCTGAGTACAACAACTTCCACTGAGCTGTTCCTATGCTCATTACCATGAGCAGAGCATGGGCAGAGACACTGCTCATGGCCCAGCAGCTCTGGGCAGCTCGCCAGGCCCAGCTTGCTCCCAGGCAGCTTCTGAGGACAGTCCTACAGGTTCTTCAGCTTGCACACGGGACACTCAAAAAATGTGTCAGACAAGACCTTAGAGGATGAGTATGTCCATAAAAATCGCACCTGCTCACAGGTAGCACTCACTGCCAGTCCCACAGAGCAGGATAACGCCTGCCTCCAGAGCAGACATGGTGACAATATAATGGTATGTTAAAGATATTTGAGCTGCTACCGCCCTTGCCAGAGCCCTCGAAGAGCTGGCTCCTTTTGAATTACGTTTTACTAGAACTTCATTTTTTCCTCGCTGAAGAAATAGAGAGATGGGACAAAAAAGTAAAACTTACTGGGACAAAACAAAAAAGGATAGAGAAAGATAAGGGCAATTTTTGTCCTCTGTTCTTTAGAAAATATGTATAATTTAATGCTATGTTCTCAATCATTTGTTAAAAATTCCCATTAAAAAAAAAAGAACACCTAGAGAAAATGTTCTGGAATTATTTTTCTTTCCTTTTCCAGTATCTCCAAATTATTGCTTGTTTTATTCAGAAAATCTATTATTGGCCTTCCCACACATTTTACAAACCACTACTGCTTTCCCTCCACCATTACTCTCTTATCCTTCTCTAGACAAAACCCTCAACAGTCACAGATGATTGAGTTATGGGTCATAGTCCAACCGCATTTGCCCTTCCTGTTCGCAAGCTATCATGAAATCTTTCTGATGATGTTAGCTGCTACTTCAGAATCACAGTACTACAACTACAGGCACCTGACAGTTATATTAACCAACATTCATAATTTAAGTCGTGGTTTAGACATAAATAAAGGCAGCCACTTTCAAGGGGCAATAACTTGCCATTAAGAAATTGTGTATATTGATTGTCTGACAGAAGACATTTTGAATCTTAGACTATTCGCACAAGAGAACCATAAAAAATGGATGTTTCTGTTGTTCTGCAGAAATTGTTCCATTTTACCATGTCTGTCACACATGCCCAGTGGATTTTGACTCAGTCGGGAGGCTAAAAAATTTGCTCCATTGTCTTAAGAAAAACTGTCTTCCAGGTATGTTCTTACAGGATTTGCACAAAGGCTTTACCACTATAAAAACGAATGGGAAAGGAATATATATTCATGATTTTTTTTTTCCTAAAAGATTTTAAACTTAATATCACCTTTGAGACAAATACTTGTTTATTGTTCCACAAATTTTTGACACTGAACGTCAGCTTAAAAAGCAACTCTTTCTACAAATTAAGCCATTGAAGAAAAAATGTCATTGGACACATGATGACTGAAAAAAGATGGAACTTTCTTCTAAATCAGGAATGAATTCAAATCATTCAGAACAAACATTCAGGGTTAAATCCACACACTCTGAAATTTAGAATTCTGATTAATATCCATATGTATACTTGTTGGCATCAATGCTTTTTCAGAATTGCTGTGGGGGTATTTACAGTTTGATATTAGTTGTTTAGTTCAGATCATGACTTATTTCCAAGCTAGTTCTGTCATGATAACAAGTACTCTGGCCAAGACAGCAACACATGAATCTTGTTTTTTTTTTTTTTTATTAGAATTGATCTGAATTATATAGGCTATATAAAATCTTTTCTATCTAATATGTTACATATTTGTTTAGTTTTCAAATGTTGTATGTGATGCTGCAAATGCTTCTTTCTCAGACAAACAGCACTTGTTTTTATCCCTAGACCTGGCAGTTGTAGATGCTATGACATGCCCCTAACACCATCAATATAGTAATGGAGAAGGTAGCAATATATCCAGTATATTCTTTCCCTGCCCGGTTAAAATTGAAGCGTATCACAAATTAATGATTTCCTCCACAAATACAATTTCTCAAGCATGTCTAAGAGGAAAGCAGTGCCTAAAACGGTTCCTGCCTTGAACAAGCCCCTGGCACAACTGCAGTGCCTGTGCTGAGAAGGTCGCAGGAGGCCAGGCCAATACGTGCACAGGTGACAGAGAGGAGACAGCATTACAGTCCTAAACGGATTCACCGGCAGAGGTAGGACACAGACTGGCAGGGCCATGAAGCACACCATTTAACATGATGTGAGAACATACACTGTTCTTGTGAGCTGCTTGGAGAGGTGCTGTCATAGCATGAAAAGCATGCAGCCCTTCGCTCAGACCAATAGCTAAATCACAAACGCAGCGCAAACAACCAACACCAAAAACAGATTGCATTATTAAATCTGACTGATGCATACAGACTAATAGTAACCAACCTATGTAACCATTCCACCCTATGTTTTCCTTGTATATACTAACATTAAAAATGTCATTTCAAACACTCCAGATCTCATTAACCCTTTAGTAAGTGGATTTCAATCCAAAAATCTGGATTTACCATACCTCACTAAACTGTTGGCTGTGTCAGGATCTTGTGCTGTTACGGTGCCAACAGCAGTCCCAATCTTTGCATTTTCATGAACTTCCATGACATAAGAAGGCATAGTGAAGAGCGGAGGTTCATCCACATCGCCAACAATGATCTTCAGCATTGTTACATCTTTAAATGGTCCCAAATGTGAAAAGCGGAAATCAAGATGAGTGTTTGCTCCTTCTATATTAAGTGTATAGGATTTCTTTTTTTCATAGTTGAGTGGCTGTTGGCAGAAGAGAGATGTATTATTACCATTCTGTGCTTCAGTTTAACCTGAGGTGTAGCTATATACACCTTCTCATTTTTTTCTTAATAGATAACTAAATTTCTTCATGGTTACTGCAGAAATACAGCATTCTGTGATATCCCAACAGCCACTGCTGTTCAGTTATAAATAGGAAGATATGAAGGACATGAAGCAAGGTGACTCAGGATATCTCTCCAGTAGAATTCAGGCAAAGTATTAGCTTTTTAAAAAAAACCCTCAGAATTGAGATTGAGCAGCAGTTTCTTTTTTCCTGAGATAACTTAATATTTCAGAATTTCATTCCCTTTCACATTTTATTGTTCAATGAACTGAACAAATAATACTCTAATATTGAACGTACAGTACAACACCCAGACTCAGATCTACTGTCAGTGCCACTTTAGCCTTGCCTTGTGCGACCCAATAGATTCCTATTAGGAAGTCTACCTTTCTACAAAAAAGAAAGAAGGTGAGGTCTGACTCATATCCCTGTGCATAAAAGCTTCCTTTCTTAGGAGTCCCTTTGCTACCTGCTATTTACATGTACAAAAATTGTTACCACCTTTCTCATCCAACTCCACAAGCATCATGGCAGAGGGTCACTATTCTCTTTCAGTGAAACTTCTGATACAGAAATTAAAACTCCTGTTAAAACCAAGAGCAAAAGTTGGATGATGATCTTAAATTCTACAATGCAGTAAGCTCTTATTGTTGTTACAAACCAGCATGACATTACAGAACGTAAGACTACAGACTAACCTGACTACATCAGATTGTGTAGCATTTTTTTGACTTGTTATATACATTTCAACCCTACATGATCACGAGATTACATCATGTTATACAAGATATAACATAAACAGGCACCACGTGACAAGACACACACAACTCAACTCTTCTACTGCAGAGAGCAATATAGTAGGGGAGACTATAGAGATGCTTAACTTAAAAATATGCAGGTAATGAAGTTCGATTAACAGAAACAGAACTAACATTTTTACTGAAAGTTGTGTTTACGGAGTCATAATCTTGAGGGTCCTTTTCTGTGGCCTCACTAAAACACTAGACTACTTTCCATAGAGAGAGAATCATGACTTTGTTGTGAGGGAAGTTATTTTTTTTCTATATATTGTCTGTTAGGTTTGCAATTACTGAAATAGCTTGAACAAATCGTAGTTCAGATCAGGTGCAATAGCCATCCTGAGAAATGTTTAGGGAGCTTGGGTTCATTGCAGTTTCCAACTTTACAAACCTTGAAACCTACTACCAGTGGCATAAATTCTGTTATTTACTGAGCTGCACAGACTCTGTTTACCATAACTCATGGTCTGAGGACATAGTTCTTTTGGGGTTGTGCAGAGAATAATAAAAGCAGTTTCTTCAGAACTCAGACCTCTTGTCCAGTCTCAGAATGTTGCATTTTCCATGTAGTGTCAAAGTCAATCTCTCAGCATGGAAGAGCACAGCAGTGATTGCTAGGACTGATTGTAGTGATGAGCACAAGGCTGAGCTAGGGCAGAAGAATCTCAGATCTACCATAAAACAAAGCACTTAGGATCAAAGCTAGTTAAAGACAGAAGTGTTAAACAATATTCCTTTTGTAATTTGTTGAACTTCTATCTCTTTCTACACTTGCATTAAGTTAGGCAAGTTCAAACATGCTGAGTGGTCATTTAAATGTTTCATGAAAATACGCAGGTACATAAAATTATAAAGCAGATTTCAAGGTTTTCCACTGTTAGATTTCAAAAGTGCTTCTGTGTTGAGCAAAGATACTTCTTTGATAGATACCTGATAGAAACTTCAACTCTTACCAGGTTTCAGATTTCAGACTTTAGTCAATTTATAAAGAAGGATAGATTAATGTTTATTATTATACTGAGGAGAATAGAACAGTTAATTTAGAGAGACATATACTACCACTAAGTTTCTACAGTCTCAGAACCAAAAATTGCATATGCATGGAAAAGCTGTGTTACAATAAAAACTTTTATGACATAATCTCAAGATGCTATTAAAAATACTTATGAAATAAACTACTTCCTGAATGAACACCCCTCTCTTTCCTCTACTACATCATGCATTCATCCATGCCATGAAAGATTTAGGTCATGATCTGCCACTGAAATCCCTTAAGACAGACGTAATGGCATGAGTGAACACCATTAGAATCAATATTGTTCTGTGTGGGCTTGGGCTTAACAGCCTGACTGAACAGAATGCAATATAAGGATTCAAGCCTTAGACCAAGGCTAAACAAGTACTGAACAGTAGAAAAGTAGCACCTAAGGCAAGAAATATGAGAAACACAATGTGTGATTTGTCAATGCCAGGGTGCATTTTGTAGTTAAAATCTACAGTAACTTTGACTGATAAGGTATAGAAATGTACTTGGTATAGATAAATATTTTGTTGTTTTTCTCTTCTGTGTACAGAATGGTCAGAATTGTCTCTGTAAGGACAATTAATTCACTCCACTCTAATTGCATGAAACTTTTTTTTCACTATTTTTCTGTTTTACTTTTCTGAATAGATAAATAAAATATCTAAAGGAGTGGGAATTTATCACAACCTGACAAAATCTATTATGATGAAAAACACATCTAAGTATTTTTTCGGTTTCTGTTTAAAACATTGTGTATGTGTTAAAACTGAAACTCATTCTGTATCTTACAAACACTGTGCAAAAAAGTTTGATCCTAGACACAATCTATCTGAGCTGTTTACTGGCGGTAGTGCTTAAATAACTCCCTGTGCCAGTACAGGGTAGCAGCTGACCTGCTGGAAAGTAGCTCTGAGGGGAAGGACCTGGAGATCCTAGTTGACAAGTTGACCGTGAGCAGCAGTGTGTCCTTGCAGCAAAGCAAAGCAGGCCAGTGACATCCCGGTCTTCATTAGGAAGAATGTTGCCAGCAGGTTAAGGGAGATGATCCTTCCCTTTGACTTGGACTTTCCTTGGTGAGGCCCCACCTGAAGCAGTGCCCACCAGTTCTGGGCTGCCCAGTAGATGAGACACATGGAGCTACTGGAGCGAGTCCAGAGAAAGGATACTGAGAAAGGTAGGGACTAAAGAATGAGGAAAGGCTGAGAGAACTGGGACTGTTCAGCATGGAGAAGAGAAGACTGAGGGAGTATCTTATCAAGGTATATAAGTATCTAAAGGGAGGGTGTAAAGAGGATGGGAGGCAATAGTCACAAACTGAAGCACAGGAAGGTCTGCCTAAACATGAGGCAAATCATTACTGCAAGGGTGACAGAGCACTGGAACCTGTTGCCCAGACAGACTGTTAAATCTTCATTCCTGGAGATATTCAAACACTGCCTGGACATGGTCCTGGGCAATATGCTTGAGCATGGGGATTGAACTAGGTGATTTCCCTTCCAACCTCAACCATTGTGTGATTCTATAATTCTTTTTGAATTTAATGTATTAAGCATAAAATTCAGTTTAAAATACCTAAGCCACCTGAAAAATCTGCTATAATTTAGCAAAAGGTTTGGCCCCAAAAAATCATTTCAAATAATTTATATTTCCAAAGGAACTGTTTCACAGTTCCATCAGATTCAGCACAGGATGACTCATATATGTCTACAGTAACTGAAAAGAAGAAAACACAAAAAATGTAAGAATGTAATTGTAAGTCTTCTAAGGACATGAGCACATTTCCTGTCCACATGGATCAGTGATTCTGATTTTTACGCAAGCCTGAAAATACTAAATACTGGTACCTCAAGCAATCAGTCCCAGAACTGACAGACAGAAGTGTTAGTCAACATACTGCAGTTTACATTCCTTACATCAGGCTCCAAAAAGGAATAGCAGATATCAAGGAATTCGAGGCTTATTATATATATATATAATATATATATAAATATATATAAAAAAAATATTATTATATTTATATATATATAAAGGAAGACATGAGCTGTTCAGACTGTTTTTCTGGGAAGCCTGGTTGATGCTCGTTGGTTTGAAGTTATAACATTATATCGTATATTTCTTTAAAAGGGGGAACATGCTGACTACTGACACTCTAAAGGATGCAGAGAAGTAATGGCTTTTACTGTACTATATTGTTTTGCTTTTATTTTGTTTTCCTCTGATTTCCCACACGAATAAGTAAGGCAAAGGGGAAACCTTCCATGAGATTTGGCAACATATACTGTATAAAACAATTTTTGAGACTGAAAGGTGGCTCCATGGGGCTTGTGAATGAAGAGAGATGATGAAAGTACAGCCCAAAATAAAGATGGAAAAGATTCCTTCTGCCATTTGCAGACTTTGCAATTATATTGACCAACTCAGCATGGAAGTTCTAAGAAATTATTTTTCTGCATCAGAACTCCAAGAAAGTTTTATGAAAGTCTGAGAAGCACTTCCGGGCTTCAGACACAGCTAATACATTTAGACCTAGCACTTATTACGTGCCTACAGAATATATTTCAGAAGAAGTACTACAGGGGAGAAAGCATTCTGTCCTACTGTTACAGAAGCTACTGCACACAATTTATGAAACAAAACTGATTATGTTAATAGTATGTATTACATATTACAGCTGGTCTACTGAAGTCATTAAACTTCAAAGCCAACCTAAATTGAAACACTTACAGCACAGAGTATGTATAATACATGTTAAACTCTCTTCCAGATCAGATCAAAAGAAAATAAAAGACCCAGGAAATCATAAATGTTATAAAATATCCCCTGAATTAAAGCTTACTATAGTACAGGGACAGACAGAAAGCATTTTAAAATTATTATGAAAAGTGACATAAATTCAGTGACAAATTATTATATTAAATGTAAAATAAAGTTACATACATGCTACATTATTCAGACATAAAATGCACCTTTTTAATAATGTTTTTCTTGGGATTCTCTTTTCTCATATTTCTCTTTCAGAGCTTCTGTTTTCACTTCTCTTACCTTCAGCCAGGCCCAGCACACATTACCAAAATATAAATGTACATTAATTTTAATTTTTTTAGGCTGCAAGATATAATTCACGCCTGCAAGATTCAATAACAACAAACCCACATGAGAATTGCTAATTGATGTCTGTTAGTCCAAGTGAAAACTCAAGAAAGGATTTTCCCTTGTTGGAAAGGTTTTGAAAAAATAATTGCTTAAACATGATAAGCCAGTCCTCTTGATATAAAACTAAATTTAAATCTCACCACATAACATTAGCATAAGCTGACAGATACTTCAAGAAACATTCGCTATGAACTCAGTTCAGAGAACTTAATATGGAGATGGAATTATCTGTAGAATTAATTTGTATAAGAATTCAGTTAAGAACAACTAACTGGCAAGATAGCTTTACAATTAATAGCTTAAATAGGCTGGGATAAAGATAGAAATCTCATGTAAATGATAACAATTTGGTGCTTATACACATTTTTTTTTTTATGCCGGTATAAGCAAGTGGGTATGCACTATGCACAGTGTACAACACTTGACCCCTTAGCTGCCAGCTGCTAGGTAAAGCAAGAAACATAATCTTCCAAAATTGAATTATATATTCATTGTCATAGATGAACTTCTTTCTAGGTCGATTCGCACAATTTGGAGGCAAAGTTCCAGATGAACTTCATTTATTTCCAAGAAGTTTTATAAGCAAAACCATAATTCAGAAAGAGAAGAAAACCTTTCAGTAAACAATTCAATAATCTTCAGTTTCATTCGCTGCATTTGAATGTTAGTTAAATATTAAATATGGCCATTTGTAAAGCACATGAGTTTTAAATAATTGTTTCTTCCCTGAATTTCTTTTCTCAGTCCATTTCCTGCTAAGTTTTAAAGTGTCTCAGGGAAGAAATGTGCAGAACATTACACTGCTTAAGTTCATGGTCTGTTAGGTTTACATATTAAAACAGTATTTTCACCGTGGCATCTGCCTATTCAGCATTCTCCTTTGGAATTCTTCTTCTTTGACATTTTATTTAGAGACACTTCCAAAGCCTTTTGCTTACCTTTTTAAGGGAAAGAATTCCTTCCCGTGTTTCTTTGTCAGTGGATATGGAGAACACACCAGAGCCATCACCGTTTATGATTGTGTACTTCATGTCTGCATTTGAGCCAGTGTCTGCATCATTTGCCTTGATTTTACCTACTGCCGATCCAACTTGAGCTGATTCAGGTACATACAGCTGGTAATGTTCTGGGAAATAAAACAGAACAGTCCGGATGATATTTTCTGATCAAGCTAAAGAACTGAATTTTGAAGTAAAAAGGAAATGCTGCTGCTAAAAAAAATGTAGGCATGCCTAAATTATGGAATCATTATGTGTCTGATGCACTTCTGTGTAAGTACTTCATAAATAAAGCTAACAAATACATACTATGAACATATGTAGATTGCTGAATTAATTCAAATTAAAATCGCAGCTTACAAGTATATCTTATTCAAAATCAAATTAACTAATGCAAAGCTTCAGTTTTCAGTCATTTTTTTCTGTTCACCATGTAACGTGGAAATTCTCTCTGAAGTTTACTTCACACCACCATGTTAAAAAGCATACCTTACACATTACCAAAAAACATACATCTTCATCAACCTACTCTCACAAGCAGTCAAATGAGTAATATTTCTTCCAAACTGGAAAAATCTCTGTATGCTATTTGTTATTGTTATGTATACAACATGTATCAACAAGCTGCATACCGTATGCAAGACACTACTTTGCAAGCAAGCATCAGGTAATACAAGAGTGTGCGGGGGAAACTACAGTAACTCTAGAATCTTCCAATTCTTATACTTTTAAATATATATATTTTTAATATAGTTTAACATGAGATAGAATAGCTCTGAGTCACTGTAGCATAAATATTTTTAAATCTTAAGATATTCTTTGCAGAGTTCTAGGCTCACTTCCTAATGTTGGAAATGTTTCATGGCTAATGGAAAAGAACAAGGACATTCAGGATTTTTCTCTTCTTCCAAATCCATATGTCCAGTAGTTGCAAGAATATCCACTATTAAACACTGTGTATAACACTAAGGGAATTATGATCATATCTAAACCAGAAAATAAGTTACTACACATTACAAGATTCTCAAGGGAATCAAGAACTTCCCAGCAGAACACCACAAAAAGTAGAGTTAAACATGCAAAAAAGAAATTACCAGCATGACAAAACAGGGTAACTGATTAGAATTTGATTCAACCAAAAGGCACAGTTACTTCTTTGATATGCATATAAAAGTCATCTTTGTAAATTTCAAAAATAAGTGTATTCTTTTGAAACTTTTAATGCTTTCAGATGATGTCAGCTGACACCTTCATATCGCTGGTTGTTTTATTTCATACATAAAATCATAGGGATGGGATGAAATGCATTTTGGTACTTATTTCTTGTTAAAATAAATGTGGAAAATGTTTTGCTCTAATACATCCCATAAAGGAAAAGTGAGTTCATAAAGAAATGTATGTAGCCAGGAACTGGAAGTGTTAAAGCTGTAAGACAAGGTGAACTAGATGAAGACTTCCAAATACTCAGGCTAGTTCGAAAATATCCTCATGACACCGCACCGTCCTTTATAATCACATGCTAAACGTTAGCCATTTGTTTTAGAAACATTTTGCTAATACCAACTTTAAACTTTCTAAAATGTTAAAATCTCAAGCAAAACACACATTGGAAATCATGATTTAATTATTTTCTGTAGAACTGACGTGCTTCAGAAAATGATGTGATGAAACGTGTAGAGTTAAGATCTAAAAAATTGCTAAATCATGAAATGATTCTCAATGAGAATTTTACCACTGCTTCACAGAAAGAGCCTGAAGATATCTTGTACAGACACGAACCAATTAATAATTACAAGCGGTACTATCTGAAATCTACAAATGCATAACAGGATAAAATTCAGCAACATGAAGATGTGAGAAAATACATTGGCATTTATTTAGACTAGATATGAAAACTGGAAATGTCCTATTAAACACTGAGCAAATGTAAATTCAATTCCTGCAAATTAGATGAATTGGATCAACTGAAAACTTCCTTGGGCATTAAATAAATGTCAATAAGATTAATAATAAAAGGGATGTACTTTGGAATGGGAATACTATAAATTTATGATTCTTATTTTAACCTATCTACCTCTCTCAAACTACCTAAAAGTTTGTTAGGGACTCAGGGATGCTCAGTTCAGGCATCATTCCCAGCAAGAATTTACCAAATCTGCCTGTGTTGAATAGGTTCCTATACTCCAAACCTTCCTGAAGGTGTTTTCACAGCAGGAATAACACACCATCTTAAAGCTTCTCTACATTTCTCTAGAGGTTGTGTTCAGTGGATCACAGATCAAGACTCTGTAGAGGTTGATTTGGCTCCCAAATTTAATGTAAATGCTCCTTGAGATGCATTCATTTGACTCAGGAAATGAGCAAATTGATATACTTTTCCATTTCAGGGACTTTACAGAAAAGTATTATCACTTTGCAAAGCTTTTACTTACCATCTTAGTTGAAATACAGTTCAAAGACATATAAGCAACCTTCATCTTCCAATAATATTATATTACTTTTCTGTCATCATAAAAAAAAATTATTGATTTCTAGAACAATTTACTTCTAATTAGCCTACAGGAAACCTAGAAGGGTGTTTTACCTATAAAGATCAGAGAAGAAACTTCTCTGTCTGAATCTCTCCACAAGAGAAACAAATACCTGCTGGAGCAGGCTGTCCAGAGAGCTGTAGAATCTCCATCCTTGGGTTATATGACCTTCTGGAGACCCTACATGATTCCACGCTTCTGACTTCTGAATTTATGCCTCAAGTTTTATCACAAGTTACCTCCGACAAAATCGTTCTTCAGCTTCAACTGTAGACTGTGCTCAGTCTCAGGAGGCAGCCTTCTACTCTAAGATTATTCTTCATTAACACAGATGCTTTACATATAATACATGATTTTGGATTTTCCTTTGAAACTGCAGCTTTTTAGAAGTTCTCACAGTCTTTCTTGGATAGTTGTTACAGTACCATTTTTCTTCAGCTATGATCACTTGGAATATAATATACATAATATATGTAACATAATAAATGTATAAATTTGGGATTTTTTTTCACTGCCAAAAATCTCCTTTGCATTTTCTAGAAAAATATTTGAATTCTAAGTGAAGTCTTTGCATATTTGCAAATATTAATATAATTGACATTAAAGTGAACTTCAAGACTTAGACAATCTGCTTGCCGTGAACCTTTGGAGAACATAATACCCTTTGGCCAATTACAGGACAAATTTCCTTTTTAGATGCCACTAACTTATTTAGCTGGAAGAAGATTCAGCAACCTCCTCTAACTGAAATTACTTTAAGCATGCCCCTGTTTTTAACATCACAGTGCAAACTTTATGAGTTATGCTTATGATTAAGATTATAATCAGTGACAAGTTTCATTTATGTTCCATACCACTTTGTTTTTACAGAGAGTAACTAAAAGTACCTGAGAAACTCCAGATAATTTTCAGAATTTAAAAATATTCTGACTTGTAGAAAGTGTGAACTTCATGACACTTTTATGGGTAAAAAATGCAAACAGAAAAAAAAGTGTTTTTCCCATGTCTTCATATTCAGTACTTTTCTGTAGGTATTGAATACCCAACTATGCATTTCCTGGGCAAATGATGTGAGAAAAACAACATATGCACTCCACAATCATCACTAATGAGCAATTTAATGGTTGGGCTTGATCCACAGCCATTTCCAGAGCTGTGCTGTGTTGAGCATATTCTATGACATTTACTTGAGAACCAAGGCAACATCAAGCAGCTTGGGTCAGCAAAAGGCAATAGTAACATTTGTAAAGAGAATCTGCTCCATTTGGACTCCTTTTTTTTTTTTTCCCTGGGGCTAGCACAACTTGGACTGTATTTCCATTGGGGATCAGTTTGATAAGGGATATAAAAATGAAAGCCATAATGGATAGGTCCTAGTTCTATTCCTCCATTCAGAAAACAAAACAAACAAACAAACAAAAAGCCATTATCACCTCATTCATACTGTCTTATGTAAAAACAAATAGACAAACAAACACATATTTACTTCTACCACAGAAACTTTCAAAATGCTCCAATCTTCATATTTGTAATATATGTAATCTATCCTGTATATAGAAATTCTCATAGACAGTACTTGATTAGGTGAAATATAAAGCACCACTAGATTCTATCCTGCTCTTCAGAGTAAAGTTGAAGTATGTAGCTGACACTAAAGCTCAATACGTAAAAGAAAACCTTTCTAAAAATATGTAGTCAGACTTGAATATAAATGTATTTTTGGCCCTCCCAACTTCCCTTTATACTTGAATTCCATGAGCGATTGTGTGATCAACTTTTAGCATCATGAATGCTTAGAATCACAGAATAATAGAATGCTTAAGGTTGGAAGGGCCCTCTAGAGGTCATCTAGTCCAACGTCCCTGCACACATAGGGTCACCTAGAACACATGGCACAGGACTGCATCCAAGCGGGTTTTGAACATCTCCAGAGAAAGAGACTCCACAACCTCTCTGGGCAGCCTGTTCCAGTGCTCTGTCACCCTCACTGTTAAGAAATTTTTCCTTAAGTTCCTGTGGAACTTTTGATGCTTCAGTTT